AGGAAGTGATGCAGCGGCATGGGGTTTGATGATGCGAGGCACTCTGTGTCTGCCGGAGCTTGGCCAGTGCTAACCAGGCATCGCATCTGCACTGTCCGCTCTTCCACCCAAGAAGCCTTCATGCGAGCCAAAGCCCCGGATGGCGGGGGCACGTGAAGACTCGGGCAAGAGCTCGTCTCACTTTGCGGAGCTCAGGAGAAATCGGATGCGCATGGCACGCCGTCACGATCTGCAACGTGCTGGCTTCCGCATCACTCCGCAAAGGCTGCACGAAGCTGGTGCTGCAGGCCTCAGGGGCTTCGCCGCCTGCTGGCACCTTCCTCTCACCTCCAACTGTGAATGTACGTCGGACGAGGCTCTGAACACTGGACGGGGTCGAAGAGCAGACGAGGAAGACAGAAGCAACTGGTGCTTCAAGGCTTGGCAGCATGCCGGCTTGTGGTCAACGTGAACCCGAATCCGAACCTCCGGCATTAAAATCAGAGGCTGCAAGCTTGACGTTGCCTTCTCAATCATTTCAATGCAACAGTTCACCCGCTCTTCTAACTCCTTTTGCCCCCCCCCCTCCCGCTTCCTCACACTCATCCACGCGGCCTTTGCTGAATCCTGATTCAGAGCCCGTGGCCAAGGCACTTGGGCCTCTTTGGGAGATTTTGGGAGGGAAGACAACTTGCATGGAAACGACAGGTGCTGCGTTCGTCTTGCGGCCCCTTTACCGAAATTCGGTCTGGAAACCACGTTGGGGATGTCAAGTCTGCTTCTCAAGGACTTACAAAGCGGCGGCCCCTGGCATCCCGAAGAGGATCCTTATGAGCTATCGGCACCTCAAGACCACCCCTCGCTTCTGATGAAGCCCCTCGTGTTCAAATCCCCGGAGGAGTCAGGGCTGGGCCGCCAGGACGGCCGGGAGTGCTCCTTTTTTGTGCGTCTCAAACGGTGAGGAGGTGCAGTCTGACGCTGATCTGCTCGTGAGCAGATCGCGATGATCGCATCAGTCTCGATAAGCCTGGCATCTCATGCGCTTTAGAGCAGCTGCAATGCTGGAGTTTTTCACCAGAGAGATTTTCATTGAGAGGACCCGTGGGTCCACGCTTCCCGAAGACCGGGGGAGCCTGGTGGGCTCCCAAAAACACCAAAGGAACAACCTCGAAGAATATTTTGTTGGGCAGGAGTAGCAGCGAAGAGCAGGTATGAGCGTTTGAAGTTGCCGTGGGCCGCAAGATGCGGCAAGCTTGGCACTGCTACGCCGCATCCTGCGAGATCTGCAAGCTGCCACTCCGCGACGTAATGAGGGCACGCAGGCACTCTTCAGCTCGACCAGCAGCTCAAGCCAGCTGCTGCATCACGCGAAGAGACTGAAACGACGCGGCGATGCTGCTCTGCGAATCAGCACGCTGCACAGAATCGGTCGTGTGAAACTGAATCACTCTCTTGAGTGCCGCTAGAACCTGCCAGGCCAACAACGTCTCAAGTGCGGCACAGGCCGCAAGGGCACTTCAACTGCCAGCGCCCAAATGTTCCATGCAGTGGTGTGTCACACTTTGCACTCGAGGTGCCCTGCCATAACCCAAGCAAGCAATGGCTGTGGCTGCGATGGCTGCGCAAGCGGGCTCCGCCTTCCCGAGCACTGAGAAGCCAGGACAGCCGGGTGGCTAGCGGCCACAGAAGCTGGCGGTCGCCGCCCTTAGGGCCTTAGGGTCGGAAGGCGGCACGCAGAAGTGCGATGGCCATGGAAATGAGGAGAGACGAAAGAACGCCCGATGGTGGAGGGCCGCTCAGACCGAGTCCGAGCACCTGGAAGCGGCGACCTCGGCCCTGCAGATGCACAAGCGGCCCGGTGGCTGCTCCAATTTCCAGGAGCGAGCTCCTCCAACGGCTCGAGTCGCTGGCAACAGCCGACCTAATGCTGCAGGAGATGCTCTAGAAGCTTGAAGTGCAACTGCTCGGGTATGCATCTCGATGAGTTCACCTCAACACGGCGACTAGCAGGGAAGGCGTGGCTTGCTAGCAACCCTCCTGCCTTTGCTCACCTCGCTGTTGCTTTCCGCTGCACACCAACTGCTCCGATTCCTATGCACCTTTTCGTGTAGGAAAACTCGCACTGGATGGCAACTGCGACGAAAAGCTCTATGTCTCCAAGCAGCCCTCCCGCTGCGATGCCGTCAGACCACGAGAGTCCGGACGCAAACCAGCCTGCAGAAGTCTGTCGCCGCTGCCAAGAAGGAGTAATGGCTAGGATGAACATGTGATGAACATGTTTCCGGCAATCCTGACAGGTGCCCTCGGTGGTTCCACCTCTGAGCCAGAGACTTTCACGGAAGGCCATGGCAAGGCATGGGGTGTGGCAGACCGAGGCTCAGATGGGGAATCATGCCACGGATGTCGACTACGTGTTCACTGGAATTGGGCTGCAGCTCTAGACCAGCAGGTCTGGCAGTGAGGCGGGCATCACACAGTTCCTCATGAAACTCTGGAGCATCAGCTTCATCTCTGCAAGAGCTTCCGGCAAACTTCTGCTGGACGACAAACTCACGGCACGGAGCGGCATCTCATGCGGCATCCACTTGTCACCGGACGGCTGGACAAGATTGATGCTGGATGGCTGCTCCGGGACCGCCGCTGAGGCCCAGCGAATCAGTGCTGCGGGCACTTGCGCCTTCTGACGTCTGCCTGCTGGGCGCCTGGAAGCTTCGGGTCCGACTTCGCCAGCGGCTGGAGCTCAATCGTGGCGGCTAGGCTAGACTTTAGCAGTAGCACTCTGCTGCTCGAAGGGCGTGAAGGCACCAGCAGGAGCGCAGCTCTCTATGGAACACACCGCCAGATCGGAGTGGCCAAAGCAGGTATCATAGTTCGGAAACTTGAATATGCGTGGCGTCAAGAGTATCGGTGGCACTTACAGTCGCAGGCTACCGATGCTTTCTGCAACATCCGGTCCGGACGCTGAGTACAAGCCGGCAGGGC